TCCATCTCCGCCGTTTTCGCCAGGCTGCCCGTACAGGTGCTGTGCAATGAGCGGACTCACGATGCCGAAAAGTCGGCCCCAGAACCCCGCAACACCGCAGGCCGTTCCACGGACCGGGGCCGGGAACGCCTCCGGGGTCCAACCGTAGAGAACGGCGTTGAACATGGACTGAAAGAAGTATTCCATCGCGAACAGGCCTTCGTTCTTGGCACGTGTATCGACAGTTGAAAAGAGGATGATCGAAATGCCCATCAGAGCAGATGAGATCACCATGGTCCACTTTCTCCCGATGGCCGGGACATGGTACATTAAAGCACCCAGCAGGACCCCAACGATTCCTGGGGCGTACGTGTAGATGTACGCAGCGTATGTGGCCGATAGACTGACGTGATCTTTACCGTTCTTCAAAGCCAGAATGCTAGGTAAGTAATGTCCTGGCGAGTGAAATTAGTCTCGACTTTTGCCGCGAACTTTAAGATGTGCTTACCAGCCACGGTGAACCCCCAAAAGTCCATAATGTACGTCAACCACACCAAGACGGTCAGCCGGATCATGGGGAATCCATCAAACAACATCTTGTATCGGCCAAGCTCAAGCTTCACCTTTTCGGTCCACTTCTTCTCCGTCTGTTTCGCACCACTGCCTAGCCCAGAAGAGGCGCTGACTGCGCTCCCAACAGAGCCGTTGTTCTCATCTGCCTCCAAGGAATGAAACATCTCCAGCGTCAGGCCGCAACGCTTCCCGTTAACATGTGCCATGTGCTCCAAGGTCTGGATCGCTCTGGCGTCGTGGCCACGATAGATAAGATATTTTGGCGTTTCTTGAAACTTGAAGACGAAGAATCGGAGGACAAACACGAAAAGCGTGATGCCGCCGAGTGTGAAGAGGAGGTATCGCCAGCCCATGTTGTCGACCCGCGCGCAGCACTTTGTTCCGGACGCGACATTGTTGCACGACGGGAGCGGTCCTTCGTCGATCTGGGAAAAGTTGGGAGAGCAGGAGAATACGGGGATGAAGCCGAACGCGACAGCACTGCAGACAATCACACCGATCGGTTGAAAGATGGACAGACAAGCCAGCAGGAAGCGTCTGTTCTGATTAATGTGTCAGAGGGCCTTACAAACTCGACCATTTGATGAGTTGACAAACCTGGGGGATAAACTCTAGAGTGATGGTGGTGTCGATTGGAATATTTCCCCCCACCCCTACACCGACGAAAGCGGTCAATACGAGAAACGTGTTGTAGCTGTTAGATGCGCCCAAGCAGAGCCCAAATATCGATGCGATGAGGCAGGTCAAGTTGAAGGCCCATGTACGACCTGGCAGAGGTAAGTTCAACTGCCGCACGAAGGTTCCCGAGCAATCTCCAGATCAAGGATCTTTCGAGTTTGGGATGTGCCGAGATCGTCATACCGATGATATCCGCCAAGAATCCCCAAACGAATGCGCCGGCAGTCAATCCAGCATTGAAACTCGTCGCAATATTCCCGGACTGGTCGTTCCCAAAACCCATCTCTTGCTGCAAAGGCTTCAGAACCAATCCAAAAGCCTGTGCCCATAGCAAATCAAGCATGTATCCGAAGCCGCAGAGACCCCAGATGTACCACTGATATTTACCCATGCCCTGCGAGTCGATCTCGCGATTGATCAGCACGCTTTTCTTCTCGTAGAGCGACAAGCCATCGAGGCCGCGGAGCATGGGGCTCGTTGCGCCCTGGCTGTCGACCTCACCCAGACCGTATGCTGGACCGCCTTCGAGCGGCAGCTTTGTTGTGTCGGTCGCAGGCATCGCGTCTGTCATTGCCCAAAATGTGATTTCGAGTGCAAGAAGGGGAACAAAATTTGCGACGGCGGGTACATCAAGGTGATATGCGAAATGGAAGCATGCTCTCATAAGCGCAACGTAGTTTATTCTTTCTCGGCTGAGGCGTTGTGAGGCGGCTCACATGGGACGAACCGGCGCTTTCAGAGTCGTTGATGTCATGGATGGGGGGACCATGCGGGTGAGATGTATCATCATGTCATTTAGCTCCCGCAATTGGCTCCAAGCAAAATGTGGTCGCATCCTGCATGTGAGGAAATCCAATTGCGGACGGGAAACTCATGCAAGAACACACAATCCGGTGTACGGGGATCGTCACATGGTTGGCTGTGTCTCACTTGCACCACGTGGGATGCTGTCGCGGTGGCCGGTGATTGATGCACGGCGGGACTGTCAGACTCAGGCTAAAAAGGATGTTGTGTAGGCGCGCATCGGGTTGTGATAGGGTCGTGAGAAATGACATGACGATCTGCCGGAGCTTTTGTAGCGGGCCAAACCTCTTGGCTTGAACTGCGAGTGTTCCGTCATTGATCTTTGGTTCGGGGCTAACCGGCCCCCAAACTGACGTGACGTCCGGTCTAGGCCCTCATCCGGCGAATGGCCGTTGGTTATCTAATGCGCGGTCGCATTTCACAAACTCATGATTTGGGATATCCGAGGTTGAGATCGGAGAGCAGCGATCGGAACTTTTGTATCTGATGCGTCAGATTCACTAGGATTGTTGGGAAATACGAGATGATAGCCGAGCAAGGATGCCTTGATCTTATAGAGTTGCCCAATCTGGGTCTCTTTTTGGAAAACTTCAAAAGAGTACTCTAAATGTAATTTTCAACCATGAGATGTCAAGACATACTTGTTCAATGCGACGACGATGCTCAGATTTCGGGGGGAGGCACGTGAATGATGCCTAAAGTCAAATTAAAGAGGTTCCGAGAATATTCCCTTGAGATCCTCATTGAAGGTTACTCGAATAAAAGAAGAAAGACACAAAGTTCAAGGAAGTACTGCCAGATCTGAAGTCATCTGAGACATACCTTAGTCATTTCCCAGAATGATCGTTGTTATCAACGTTGAGACTTCTCAATGACAGATATTGCATTATGACCAGTGGCGCCTCGACGCTGTGTTTCATAAAAAGACTTGCTGCATATGACTAGACAGTTCGCTCAACAAACGGACTCGATTCGCATTTAGTAGTCCATCTCCTCTTTCTTTGTTGGAGTTTACTCCTGGGATCTACCAGCGTCTCTCTTGGCCTCTATGAATACTAAATCTGTATCCACTGATAACGTTGTCCTGGTATCCAAAGTCTAGCCAAAAGTCCCGACTTTCATTCCCTGATTTAGTTCACGTCACCATCGTGGCTTAACAAGTTCATTAACCGCTGATATTAGACAAACCATGGTTTCTTGCGGTCCCTCGGCTAAGAGCAAACCGTTTTAAGCCCTACGGAGCTCCTCATATGCGTTTCCGGGTCTATCAGGGGCAAAGAACCCCGCAATGGTGTCGTTGCCTAGATCACCATTCCCCTCCAAATGCGCCACGAGATCTAGACAATGGGGAGCGGCCGTTGCGGGCTGTGGCTTTCGGTGGCGTCTGCTTGTTGAATTGTTTCCCTCGCCACTGCCATACTATTTCGCAGGGCTGGGTGTGGCGGAAGAGGAAGCTCTCCAAGCAGTCCGTCCTCTGCAGATCACCTCGTCGCTCGCATATCTCGCCCAGACCATGCGGCGCAGGCTGATACACGCTCACACGCTGTACTTTCACTCTCATCCTAAAGAAGCCTTCTGTGGACTAAAATGCGGCAGAATAATAGCACACAACAGCCGCTTACGAAAAAGTTTCACGTCCATCAGTTCAGAGAACGGATAACGGTCTGTCCATTTCAAGCCTCCACCACGTGCAGTCCGTGCCTCGCCACCGGAGCTCTCCTCTGGGACGCGAACGCGAGCTCTTCGTAGAGAAGCCAAAGAACGCCTCATGTTTGAAGTTGGAGGGGTGCGCAGGATGCGGAACCAAGCTAGAATCAAGGCCACAGCGATGCTCGACTTCTAGGAGAAACCTTGAGCCTTCGGAGGTCTCCTTCAAACCGAGATGGAACCTGCCCAGCGAGAGATGGATGGTTGATGTCGAGATAAGCTGTGGAATGTTGGCAATATGTTTCCTCGGATTCTGCACTGATTGCCGGCTGCGCAATGTTTATGTCGCAGAAGTTTAGAGTTAGCTTCGCATTCCTCACCCGCAGATGCTGGTCGAAAAAAGCATCCCGTAGACCCGTAGTCCCGTCGCAGGTCTCGCATTCCGATCCAGGCTTATCTTCGACACATCCGCCTAGCGTGTAAGAGAGTCCTTCGTGTTCCCAGGTTTTCCCGAGTTTGCCATGAGAAAACGTGCTTCGCTGGGGCCCGCGAGAAAGATCCACGGCCCCCAAGGGAGAGAAGAGATCGGACTTTGTTGCTTACGCGCGAAGGACGTGCTCCCATGCAGGAGCCACTGCAGCAAGCACAGACAAAGGCAACGTCAGAGCTTCACATGCAAAGCAAAGACCTTCTTCCTCCTCTTCCCCTCTCCTCCCCCAGAGCCACACTTTGGACGAAAATACCATCTGGTCTAGTGCCGTTCTAGCATCCCAGCAAGCGGTCTAGCAACTCCAGCTGCTGTCCTAGCTCCTGGGTGTGCGTGCTCACCACCCTCTCCTGCGGCTCACCAGAAAGAGAACCCTGAACCCAATTCGAGGAAGAGAGACGAGAGAAGACGGGGTTCTGCCCATCTGTGCATCCATTCTCTTAGGGCTGTTGCTCGGGGACCCATACCAAGATTCCCAAGCTGTGAGAGTGCCATTTAGCCGCAGCGGGATCGACCCGGCTCTGGAACCCGTGCAGCCGGGGCGACCAATGCCCCAATGCCATCCGGTCTTTCTCCCCCCCTCCTCCAAGGTGAATGGGGAGGCAAGAGTCAATGGTTCGTGTTTTCTGCAGGGTCGTTGCTGGATGCAAGGCACGGTAAGACTAGGCCGGCTTGTGCGGGTAGGCTGCAGACTCCAGCCCTCTCCTATTCGTGGGGTTCCAGGTGTGAGACATCGTCTTTCCAGTCCCATTGTCTCTTGTGTGAAGAGAAAGAGACATCGACAGCTGGAAGTTCCTGCTCCAACATCGTAATCATCGGAGCTGTATCCATCATGGCAACGGGCTTTTCGGGAGTAAACAAGCCAAAGAACTTTCCAAACAAACTTCCCAAACCATTTTCTCACCTTCCCACTACTTTTCCCAATAGGCGGCACCTAAGAACCTAAGATGGTCAAGGCACGGGGCGAATTTGGCCGAGGAATGCGCCACCACGCAAGCGCTGCGCGCCGTCGTCTGCAACAAGATTGCCCGAGCGGCGAAGAATGATAAGGGAGACCGTGGACGACGAGACATCAACAAAACAAACGCAATAGAGGTTAAAAGTGCATGTGAGATCCTCACGAAGCGTGTGAATATCCTCCACTTTTGCTGAACCCCTCCCTGGTTGCTATTATTCGATTCCTGGATTCCATTCTCGGGCTTGCTTGTTGATCATATTAGCTTTCCATCAGAAGAATTCCTTTGCCGTCAGCTAAGCTGCTCTGCAAAGCTTTACATCTTTAATCCAAACACCGAAACCGTTTGCCTCCTCCTCCGGGAGCTCTCCCCCCCACAACATCAGTCTGCGATGCCTTTCATCGCATCGAAACGATCACCAACAGCCTCGCCCAGCATGCCTTGGCTTTCAAGATCTCCGTCCTACAACTCGCCAGCCTCATCACCCCGTCTATCAAACTCAGCAAGAAGCTCACCGAGGACGTCACCGAGATCGAGCTTGTGCGGTCCGATAAAGAACTATGGCCCGTCCGTGACTTACATCCCGCCATTGATCGACGGAGCTTGCGGAACAGTCCCACTGGCACAGAAGCAGCCGTTTGCGTTGCTCCAGGATGATCTCAGGGAAATGTGGAAGATGCTGCCGGGGCTGATGACATCGCTGAGGACACACGTCGCCAACCACCGCGCACACCTGTCTCGAAGCCATCTGAAAGATATTATCGTTCAGCTCAGCTTGGCCATCGTTGAAGTGGGAATGATCACGCTCGCTGTACCGATGTTTATGATTCTTCCGGGGATTCTCTTCGCGGCATGGCTGGCGTTGTCCATGAGCTTGGTTTTGGCTCTCAGCTGGCTGATGAACGGGAGCAACATCATTGTCAACTGCGATGAGTTCGGCAACAGCACGCCAGAGGCAGAGGAAGATGAGGAGAAGTGGATCTTCATCGGCGGCATGGGAACAAGGTGAGTCCTCCGTGGAGGTCCCTCGTACCTCGCTCGAAAAACACTAACACAAAAGTCCAGCTCTACACATCTCTCACAATGCACTCTCCCCCGCCTGGCTCGCCTCTTTGGCAAGTCCTTCAGCGGCATCCAGATGGCCACATACGGCCTCCCCTTCGACATGCTCCTCCTGGCCATCCAACGCTGCTTCCCCTTCCAGACCCAAGCCTCGCGAGCGCTCTACTCCGAACTTCGCACCGCCCTCCTCGACGCCGCCGTCACCCGAGTCGCCGTCCTCGCCCACAACAACGGCACCCTCCCCACGGCCCTCGTCCTCGCCCGCCTCTGCGCCGACATCCAGCCCGAGAAGCTCAACAAGCTCGAGATCTACACCTTCGGCGCCGCCGCCTCAGAGTTCGTCGTGCCCCTCGGCGACAGCCGCAAGTCCCGCTTCGAGGAGGCCGTCATCGACGAGCGCGGCCCGCACATTGAGCACTTCGCCTACGCCAACGACCCCTTCGCGCAGATGGGCGTCCTGCGCGCCGTCAACAAGAAGTTCGACGGCCGCTTCTGTGGCGGCGTCTACATCATCCACAACCAGATCCCCCAGCCCTCGGGCCACTGGGTGCCCGACCAGCGCCCCGTCATGCTGCTGACCGACTACCTCTCCGCGCTCTTCCCGGACCCGTCGTCCCCGTCCGCGCCCAGCAGTCTGCTTGACTACGTCATGGTCATCGACCGCGATATCGCCGAGCGACGTGAGCTCGCTGCCATGGCTAATCATGCACAGACGAAGCGGACGCGGAAGGACAACCGGCGCCTCAGCTGGACCGCGCTCGGGGCCACCGTCGGCGGGAAGAATGGCCTGCTCGACGGCGGCGTCATCGGTCTTGAGCTGGCGCGGAAGGGATGCCGTGACTGTGACGGCCACCGAGGACGCGAGGTCAGCTGGCTTCACAGGTACGTGCAGACCGGCTGGGTCGTGGAGAAGAAGGACTCGAACCCCGTCGCCGACGCGATGGGGATACTCTGCGGTCATCAATGACTATATGAACCCCCAGCCCCTCCCTCACCCCAATCACTCGCTAAGAAAGCGTTTTACCCCTTTTGAGTTTTTCCGTTTTTAAAAAAACAGGTTGCGAAGGATGTAATTTGACAACGATGGACGACTGATGCGGTTTGGACTACATTTTCTTTCTCTCTGTCTCTCTCTCTCATCAGCATTCGGCGTCGGTGTTCTCGGTTTGGACACTCAGGGATGAATGATGCAATGAATATGAATCGATGTATTATGAGACTAGATGGGGAACGCAAGGATCACGCTCTCTTTCACTCTCTCTCCTTTTTTTTCAACAAAACTTGTACTGTAATCCGCTTGGAAAACAACTCGCGGACGGGGATAACTGGCGCTTTCGGGAATCAAGCATATAGAATCAAAGACATATTAGGCTAGTAAAGGTTTAATCAGACACGTACATCTCCCCAGTAATACGTCTTGATGTCGACTCCCATCCATTCGTCCTTGTACACCCCTGCAACCTCGTCCTCGGCGGCCGCGGCGCATACCAACAGCGGCAGGAAGTGCTCGGCACCACCGCGCGGGTGCATGTCGTAGCTGTGGTTGAACTTGCGCCAGCCCGACAGGGCCTTTGTCCTGTCCTCCCTCTTCTCCTGGAGGACGGCGCTCGTGAGCTCCTTGTCGAACTCGCTGACCTGCTTTCTTAGTTTGGCAACCCCGCTGGGGTCTCCCATGAAGAGGGAGCGCATCTTGTACAGGTTGTGGATGGAGGCGAAGCCGGAGCCCAGGATGGCAATGTTGGAGTCTCTCAGCGCGGAGAGAGCACGGCCCATTTTGAAGTGCTCTTCGGGATCCTCTGATTCGAGGACGGAGAGTTGGATGACGGGGACGTTGGCGGCGGGGTTGACAAGGAGCATGGGGACGAACACGCCGTGATCCCAACCTGGTACCTGTTAGCCTTCTATCATCCGATCAAAGGACATAAGCACGATGTCACATACCACGTCGTGAGTCGAGTTCTGGTGATAGACCCTCCTTTTCAAACGCCTGCTTCACCTCCTGGGCGATCTCTGGTGATCCGGGAGCCGGGTACTTGAGCGAGTAGGCTTCCCTGGGGAAACCGCCATAGTCGTAGTACAGGCCGTGACTGGCGGCCGATGAGATGGTCGGCCTGCTTTCAGACCAGTGTGCGGTAACAACAAGAATTGCTTTGGGGGCGTCAGGGGTGTTGAGCTTGAAGATCTTGGGCACGCGGTTCTTGAGTGATGCTGTGACTGAAGCGTGTCCGGGGTCCCCGAGGATGGGCATGGGGCCTGGTGAGATGGTCAGCAACATACTACAGGGCTGCATCAGTACGACCTACGAACCTCCACCGTGTGAGACGCAAACCACTGCTGCGCGTGTCATATTGTGTGTAGACGTTGTGAACTTTCTTGCTGACTTAAGGATAGATGATGCCGAGGCAAACCTGGGGTGTCGTAGGGATCTTATAAGGCGAATTGGCAAAGCCTGTGTCATTCGAACTTTGTTTGATTTTATTGGGTATTTTGCAACTGTGCTGAGAGAGGGATGTCTGCAACTTCAAGTAGCAGCCGCAACTGTTCAGCTGGCGTGGCATCGGCTCTCTCTGATTGGTCGCTTCTTGACACACCGGAGTCATTTGTGGCCGGGATCAGATTGGTAATACCCGCGCGGGACTACTAAGTAGTACTGCGGGACGACGATGAGCGAGAGTGTCTGAGTGAGGCCCCGGCCCGGTACCACTCGCGGCAAATGGGGCTGACTTATCACGGACCGTCTCGTCTGGTCGCATTTCTTTCGAATTTGTGCAGGTTACTATTCGTAAATGCGGCTACTGGTCATGCATGCGAAAGAGGGCGTTCCGAGCGCAACACGCGCGCGCGGAAACCCACTTCCGAGCGCCGGAATCTCGGCGGCAGCCTCTCGCCCGTGTGGGGTCACTGACATTACATCCATCCCCTCGGTCGCCTCCGTCTACACTAAGATGGCCTACTAATATCTGCTTACACGAAAACCGACACGGCGTCACGGCCACTGCCAACCGCCCGAACTCTTCCCTCAATCTCCAAGGGGCTGCCCTCGTACACGACAAAGTGGCGAGACTCCCTCGCCTGCGGCTCCTCGATGCCCAGAATCTTGTAGACGTTGCTGGAAACCAAGTCCAGCGCCTTCTTCTGGCTGAGCCGGCTGCCTCCGTTCTTGTACGCGATGCCCGCCAGCAAGCCCAGGTCGCGAATTAGCCAGTCCTCCTCCAGACCGATCGCAGCCACGACGCCTGCATCGAGCAAAGTGTCAATCGCAGTGCCATTCGTGAGCGGTGCACCGGTGAGAGAACGCCTCTGGTCCCAGGTGGTCGAGTAGGACTGGAACGGCGACAGAACGACACCCACACCAGCTTCGGCCAGTTCAGAGGCAACCAAATGCGACTCCGCGCCGCCGATGATGGCGACCTTGAGCTTTGGTGATGCTGAGGTCTGGCTCTTGGCAGCCAAAGCCTCCTCGACCGCGGATTTGACCCTCAGCGCCGCAACGATGGCGTCGGCGCTGTGGATCGTCAGGACCAAGGGCAGCTCTCCGTCGACCACCTTCTTGAGGTAGACGGCCTCTGAGAACGGGTCTGAGCCGGTATCGTTGGAAGCCACTGCTTCCAACAGAGTGTGACGAAGTGCACCGATCGCGCCAGAGATGGAAGGGCTCTCGCCCCTCTTGGCGTCGAGGGTCAGAGTGCGATGGAGCGCGACATCCTCGGTCCAGACAGCGTCCTTCTCGAGGGCATGCAGAGCACCCGTATTGAATCCAACACTCGTTCCGGAGTGGGTCGCTTGACCGGCGAACTTGGGGGCTGAGATGGCCTTGGTGACGCCGTAACGGAGTGCGACGTGGAGCTTCTTGTTGTCCAGAACAAGCCCGTCGAGGCCGCGACTGAATCCGGGGCTGTTGCCATTGTCTGTGTCTCTCTCGCCGTCGATCTCGTTGAGGCCAATGCTGGAACCGAAGGCGGTGAAAGACTCAGTGACGTAGCCATTCTTCAAGTCAACGATCTTCTGCGACGATGACTTGGCAGCGGCGACCTCTTCAGCACAAGCACCGATGCACTTGATGGCGCCGTTGGAGACGACGACATTGACCGACTCATCACTGTATGTCTTCTCCTCGCCGGACAGCCAGACGTTAGCAACTCCGGTGAAGACCACGTCCTTGAGGTCGGCAGTGTCCTCCGCGATCTTTGCCAGCTCTGGGTCAGGAGAGATGGGGCCGGTGAGAGGCTTGTCGAGCTCGAAAGGATCAGAAAACTGCGATGCTCCGTCGATCCAGACCTGCACGGGCGCGGCTCCAACGCTGAGAGGATCACTGTCCCACACGGCAATATCTGCGTCAAAACCGGGCTTGATCTTGCCGATTCTCTGGCCTAGACCCAGGAGCTCGGCGGGAGCAGACGTCACACTGGCAAGGGCTGCATGGTATGGCAGGCCGTACTTGTAAGCCTTCGCGGCCTCGAAGAGAACGTGTTGAGCGTTCAAGACCGGGTTGTCACTGACGTAGACGGGGGTGAGGCCGTTCTCCCAAAGGATCTTGCCGGCATACTCAGAAGCAACATAGGACTCAGACTTGTAGTACATGTTGTCGGCAAACAGCGCCGAGGCAGGCGCTCGGCCTCCCCAAGTTCGCTTCAGGATCTACGGTGATCGTTAGTGATGTCTACGAAGCTATGATGAGTAGTTTGAGCATACCTCGGGAACAAGGTAGGTCTGGTGGGCATGGTGGAAGGCCCGCACAGGAAACTTGAACTCGTTCGTGTGGTCAACGAACGCCTCCAAATCGGGAATCGTGTAGCAATGCGTGTTGATGTGCACTTGGCCGCGGAGCGCAGCGCTGAGACTCTCCCACTTCAGGTCCTGAGGCAGGTAAGAGCCCTGGGACTCAACGCCGAGCTTTTCAGCGGCGTCACACCAGTCGTCCTGGTCGCGGACAAGCTTCGCGGCCTGCTCAAAGGCGTGGCGGAACTCCCAGCTCTCGCCAAGACGAGAAAAGGGACTGTGGCCGACCTTTCCATAGACACGCTTCGCATTCTCTCCGCAAGCCATCTTCATGTAGCGCCAGTTACGGTCGGGATCGGCCAGCATGTCCTCCGCCGAAAACTCGGTGCGGCCGTCAGGCTTGCCGACGGCGTGCTTGATAACGTAGGCCTCGCCGCCGATGTTGTTGCCAGAGCCGGGCAGAACCAGCGAGGTCGTGACGCCGCCAGACTTGATGACCTGGATCTGCGGGTCGAGGGGGTTGAGGCCATCGATGGAGCGCACGTACGGCGTGATGTCGTTGGACATTTCGTTAACGTCCTGGTTGCCGTTGAGCTCGGGCAGAGCTCCAACACCAGCGTGTGAGTGCATGTCGATAATGCCGCTGGTCAGCTGTCGGCCCTTGGCATCCCAGATCTGGGTGTCTTTAGGCAGGGAGTCGAGCGAGATGTCGGCCTCTACCTTTTGGATCAGACCGTAGTTAACGAGAACATCGGCGGTGACCCAGGAGTAGCCCTTGCCGGCGCGGTCGTCTTCGGGGGAAGTTCCCTCGGCGGGCTCGCCCACCCAGATGGTGGCATTCCGGATGAGAGTAGGCTTCTGACCGTCGACGTATCGTGCGTTCTTCTCGCGACCGAGGCCGATTGGGTCCTGGGGCTTGTGCCGGAGCTTGGCACACGTCGCGAGATCTTGCTGCAGGCGTGCAGCTGAGAGATTGCTGGATGGCTTGCTGGTAGGCAGGAAGGAGAGTTGCTTCCATTGAGCGAATGCGATGAAGCCGAGCGCCAACACGATAAGCTTCATGCTACGGCTGGGCCGCAACCATCGCTTCGAGCGCATGTGGTGGTGATGGCGACGGGGTGCCGAACGCCGCGAGCCCGTAAATGACGGATCATCGCTGTAAGGCGGAAGGCCGCTCTTCTCTGGATCCATGTTGACGACCAAGAGCTGTTGTTCGTCGACTACGCTTGGATCAAGAGCTCAGGTTGCGAAGGTGGGAAAGTTGGGGTCCGAGTCAGGCTAAGTACGAATTGTTACCTTTCGTACTGCTGCCGAGGAGCTCTCAAGGGATGCGATGGTCCCTTGCCCGAAGCAGAAGGTGACAAACGGGCCGGCAGGATAATCGGCCGGCGTTTCAAACCCAGAATGCAGGCATCGCCGGCGAAAAGAGAGAGCTCTGGGAACCTTTGGAACGCTGGAGGGGCCGCTATCAGCGCCGTTCGGTCGCGACTTCGGCGTTCTGAATGGTCAATGACATGGATGATGGTGAGAGCGTGGAGCCGAATGAGGAGCTCACCCCTGTTCCATTGACTTTTGGAGCTCGTCTGATTACGTAGCTGCCCTGATAAGCTTTGCTTATCTAAGCCGGCTATTTGAACAAGGTTAGGTCAGTTCTTCACGTCGGCTTGTAAGTTCCGATGCATCTTGTCTTTATCTTATCTTATCACGTTCGCGGGGTCGTAAATCGCACCGCGTCTCTTGATGACTCTGAGTAGCGCTCAACTTCATCTCTAGTAAATAGCCATCCTGCAGGCCGATTTGACAGTTGCTGAAAGCTGATGATGCTCGATCTTTCATACCACTGAGCCCAATACTGTATCTGTTCGCCGCTTGTTTCCATCTCATGCATCACTTTGCCATCATCTGAAAGTCATAGCATCAGCAATCAGTCGTTGATCTGAGTGAGGAAATGGCCGCTATGAGAGTGCAATATGTCTGTGTCCGACTGAATCGGCACTATTGGAAGCAACCGATCATTCATCATTGACAAGAAAGGCCTTCTCGATATGTTCCATCAATGACCTTCCCGCGCAGGGCGACAAGTAGAGGACCAGCAACAACCGGTCGCAGGCGATGCCCAGCTATTATTACGTACAAGCTATCGGATAGCGGTCCAGCAACGACACGATGAGGCGCAAGAGAGGTCATCCCAGGCCGTTTGCCAGCGTGGCGTGCGGGGAATAGTCCAGCGCCATGACCAACTATGTACCCCGCGGACGAGATGTCTCGCCCGGAACCCGGTCGATACTTGCGATTGAATCTGAAACTGTTGCAGATGAGTGTTGCTAAATGCAAGCTGATGTTATCTTCTGCGATGTGGTCACTGGATGTCAAAGGCGCCTTGTTGACCGACCGAACGCAAGTCCCGAGTTCGTCCAACCACTCAGTGGCCGGTGGTCTCATTCGAGCATCCGTATTTGGAAAGTTTGTCCTGAGTGACATACTCACGCGTGGGATAGCTTGATAGGGAAACTAGCCTTTTGGTGGAGGGGCGGCCAGAGACCCAGCTGGTTGGGCCGATAACGCTCTATCTTGGCTTAGGCCATCGACGTATATCAGGGACCCTCACCTTACTCGGGTTGCTGAACGAGTTGAGTCACGTCTGCAATCGCTTTGATCGAACACTTATATCACTTGTTGGAACGAAAAGACTTATTTCAACTTCTTTCGGACCACAACGCAGGCATCCAGATTAAAGGAAATATTATCCAGACATGTTCTTCCTCGCGGCGTTGGCGTTGGCCGTTGCCATCTTCTCTGTGTGGAGATGGAGAGGACGGTCCCTAAACAAAGTGAGCGTGTTGAACATCCTTCACCCGGCAAGTCTCTGACCGAAGTCCAGAAAGTATCCCATGGGCCTCTACCATCAGAGAAGACGGACAGCGCAGCTGGCATCACGCCTCTGAAATGTTTCAACTGGGAACAGACACCACCGGACAAGCATCGTCCTTTTAAGCCAGTCTACCACATCACCATGGGTAAGCCGGAGCCCGTCCAGTCTTTTAAGGCGCCTCGTCCTCATATTGACCGTCTTCTCTCGTAGCCATCCAGGGCAGTACACCAGACGACCTGGTCATCATGGACAGCAACTACCTAGATCGCGTCAACGAGCGCCGCGAGACTATCAAGCAGCACGCACCCACAGTGCTTGGGGCTGTGCCCGAAGGCATACCCGCTCTCCACGAGACATACACGTATTTGCTCGGAGAGTACTTGCCAACACGGTTCCCGACAATGTTTTCTCTGTCTGAAGACGGCCAGGAGTTCTACAACAAGGTCACTAAGACATCGCTGCCTCTGACGCCCCCGCAAGATCCCAACGCTGCGCTTCAAGCCCTGGGAGAAACCATCGAGGATGACATCTTCCTACTGATCGAGACACCAGAAGGCCACCGCGCAGTCGCGTTCATCTGCTGTCATCCAGCAGGCTTTGACCCTTCGGACAAACTGGGCAAGTTGCTGAAGGACATCCACACGCCCGTGCCGTCGTACGAGAAGATCGGGGCCAGCATGGAACGATTCTTTAGCCGATTGCAGGTGGGAAAGAGCGTCAAGCGAATGAATGTAAGTCATCAAGTTGTCTAATGGGTGGGCTTGGACTGATTCAGCGCGGTAGTGGTCTATCTCGACGAGCGAAAGGCTCTTCAGTCCCAGCGGATTGCACATTTACGACGGCGACAAGCCGCAGGAGGACGAGGAGATTGATATCAGCAAGGTTCGCAGACCAGCCTTCACGCCAGAGAGAATAGCGCAGCTAACGGAGTCAAGACCCGTCTTAGACAGGAATTGCAGACCTTGACCAGGTTGCCTAAGACGGGCGCCATCATGTTCAGTTTCAAGACTTACATGACGCCGCTGGAGGAGATCAAGAATGAAGGCATTGGGCCGCAGGTCGCTGACGCCATTGAGGGTTTGCGAAGTGGCAACGCGCCGGGCATGTGGGTGTACAAGGGGGCGACGCGCTGGGGTAAGGGCGCCTGCGAGTATTTGCGGTCATGAGCAAGAAGTACCGTGGGAGACAGGTAGATGATGACCGGTAAAGACACTATTAGCAAAAAAGACAGAGAGGTAAAAAGAAATCATCAACGACTTGAATGGAATTTAACCACCGAATCTCCCCGAGGTGGGCTCGAACCACCAACCTCCAGATTAACAGTCTGACGCGCTAGCCAATTGTGCCATCGGGGATGTTGAGATATTTGAATCTGACGACGGGTGCGCCGGAGCCGACTCAAGGCCCGCAGCGCAGGTCAGGACACAGCGGTGCGCAACACAAAACCGGGGGCGCGATGTGGGCGCTTCGGATTGTCGGGCCCGATTTACGGAAATGCCTGTTGTTATTGGGCGATCTCCCGCTTGGGTTGTGCCGCTGTTGTGTTGAAGCGATAACCGAAAACACACCAATGGTGTCGACCTGAACATGTCTCTAGTCTCTACTACCTATGCATGACAATCATCATCTGCTGCTAATTGTTTGTTCCGTGCTATGGTCAGGGTGGCCGGTAGCAAGGCAGATGGCTTCGTCGGCTTCCAGAGTCAAAATACGCTTGAATCATCTTCCACCAACAACAACCGGTCAAACACAGCGCTGGGAATCGAATGAATTGACTTTTGGGATGAACTGGCTCAGGGTGTTCCCGGTCGTGCCGAATAGGGGCGCGCCCACCGGGCTCGCAGTGTTCACAGCGTCTGGAAAGGCCCCCCGATCGAGTCTAGTGGCCCCGCTCCGCCCTCCGTGGAAATTTCCCAGGGGAAAAGCTTCACTTCTGTCACTTTTAAACAGCCCCCTGCATCGACCTGCTTTCTCTCCCATACAAGGCGCAAACGAGATGTGGACTCGCCTTCATCTATGCAAAGCGCCCACCGCCAACCCTTGATGATTTCTCTCGCTCTGCCGCCCTGCTGGGAGACAGACTTGGGCTCTTTGGGGGGGTCAAAGCCCGTCCGTCCAGTCCAGTCCAGGCCCTGCCCGGCCTGTTGGTCGTCGCGATCCCCCTTCAGGCTTCGGCTCTCGTTCCCATGGCCTGCAACTTGGCAATAAACGCTGACCTTGCCGCCGTGCCTGGGATCCTATCCGTACCTGCATGCATCTTGCTGCGGTATGGCGTGGCCTCATGGCCCATGGCCTCACCTGAAGCCAGGCACAACTCCGCAATCTAATTTGTTCCCTTCCTCGGCTGCACGGAGAAACACCCAAGCAGACACACAACTCAATGTCATGATCCCTCCAGCACCCGCTGAACCGGGTAGCCTTGCCGTCCGACAGAGTGGCTTCTGCAGGCCCCAATCCCCCCAAAGGAGGCCACTCTACTCTATTCCTCGCAGCTAGGCCTGCGGGGTCATCTCCCTTCTGGGAATCACGGAGCGAAACGGCCTTCGATGTTCGGTTCGTCCCATCAAGGGCCACCGTGAGAGAGGAAAATCAATGTCCTACATAAAGAAGTGTGGCCGCCAGCGTGTGCCACCCCTTCTCTTCCCTCCCCCTTGGCTTTTGAGCTTAAAACTTCATTCTCTCGTCCACTGAACTTCTAGAAGCACGGCCAAGGCATCGATTGCTGCGACCTGCGTCCTCTCTTTCTTCACTCATCCCTTCCATTCGTTCATTCAAGCTTTCTCCAAGCCGACCGGGTCGGTTCAGGCAACAGCACACACACATTCACTTACACCACAAGTCTCTTCAGACAAACAAACACCAATACCAACCGCAAAAATGAAGTTCAGCACCGTCAACATCGCCAGCGCGGCTCTGCTGGCCACCCAGGCCCAGGGTGCCATCGTCTGGGACGGCCGTTTCAACGACATGACCACCTCCAGCGACCTCGACAAGTGGTCCTGGAGCAACCAGGTCGGCGCCTACCAGTACTACATCCACGGCTCCGGCGCCACCACCGACTACGTTAACCTCTCCGAGGACTTCAAGAACCCCGCCGACACCGGCTCCAAGCAGGGCGCCAAGATCTCCCTGACCAGCACCTCCTTCTGGAACGGCCAGACCATGCGCCGCACCGAGCTTATCCCCCAGACCAAGGAGGCCATCGGCTCCGGCAAGAAGTACTACCACTTCAGCCTCAAGCGCAGCGACACCAACGCCCCCTCCCTGAGCAAGGAGCACCAGATCGCCTTCTTCGAGAGCCACTTCGTCGAGCTGAAGT